GCAGTGGTGGTTTTGTGAATTTGGGCACCGGGAGGGCACCCGGAGCGGGGCGGGGGGTGCGCGTGTCCGCGGGGAGCAGCGGCCGGTCGGCGTGGAGCTGGCTCTTGCTTTTCATTCAGCCCGAGGTGCGTTGCATGTTTTGGGTCGGGCCGGTTAGGTCCTTTACTTACGTAATTATCACGTGGCTGGCTGGACCTCTCTCCTCCTGCTACTTGTTTTCTATTTGTCTTCTTCTTCATTCCTTCTTTTCCCCCCCGGCCTCCTTTTGAAGTAACAGAATACTTTAGTATTCAATTCTGTTTCAAGTTTTGACTCGTACCCTCCCTTTCTCGTTGCTCGAGGGTTTCTGCGATGCATCTTTAACTGAGCTCAATACTTTTTTTTTACTTTAAGCTGACAATTTTCTTTTGAAGAGTTTTAAAATGATTTCGAAAAGTAGCTTTTATTAAACATTTTTAATTGTTTTGTAGTAACGGTTAAAAACATTATGCACGTTTCAGGCCTAGGACATTGTAGTCTGCATCTGTGTACTTTGCACGTTCACCATCCAAGTCTAGTGCCCGTTTGTCACCGCGCATTTGACCCCTTTCCCCATTTTTACCTTCCCCTCTGGCAACCACCATTCTGTGTTTGTATCGTGAGTTTCTGCTTTGTTGTTAGTTCGTTACCTTTTTTCTTTTTAACCCCACATGAATGAAATCATACGGTCCTTGTCTTTTTCCATTTGACTTATTTCACTTACAGTAATACCCTCAGATCCACCTATGTTGTCGCAGATGGCAATGTTTCATCTTTTCATGGCTGAGTAATATTCCATTTTATATATATATATATATGTGCCACATCATGTGCCACATCTTTATCAATAGGACGCTTAGGTTGTTTCCACGTCTTGGCTGTTGTAAATAATGCTGCAGAGAACATAGGGGTGCAGGTGTCTTTTTGAATCAGTGTTTTCATATTCTTCAGAGAAACATCCAGTAGAGGAATTGCCGTATCATCTAGTAGATAGTTCTAGGTTTTATTTGTCGAGGATCCTCCGTACTGTTTAGTGGCTGCACCAACAGTGCCTGAGGGTCTCTCCCAACTCCCATCCTCACCAACACTTGGATTTCCCATCTCCCTGATAACAGCCACTCTACCAGGTATCAGGTGATGCCTCACCACGGTTTCAATCCGCACGTCCCTAATCGAACATCCTTTCATGTGCCTGCTGGCCAGCTGCACGTCTGTCCTGGGAAAATTTCTATTCAGATCCTCTGCTCATCCTACAATTGTCTTTGTTGTTGAGTTGTAGGAGCTCTTTGCATATGTTGGATGTTAACCCCCTATTGGAAATACCCTTTGCAGATACCTTCTCCCATTGGGTAGGTTGCCTTTTCGTTTCGTCAATAGTTTCCTTTGCTGTATAGCAGCTTTTTAGTCTGATGCGGTCCCGACTGTTTTTGTTTCCCTTGCTTTTGGAGTCAAATTCACAAAACCACCACCGAGACCAACGTCCAGAAGTTCAGTGCTGCTCTTTTCTTTACGTATTTTATTGTTTCAGGTCGTACGTTCATCTTCGATCCACTGTGAGTTGCTTTTAGGTATGGCGTTGAGACAGTGGTCCGGTTCCATTCTTTTGCATATGGCTGTCCCGTTTCCCCAACGCCCTTTATGGAAGGGGCTTTCCTTTCTTCGTTGCGTATCCTTGGCTCGTTGGTCATAAATCAGTTGCCCGTATATGTGCAGGTTTATGTCTGAGCTCTCAATTCTGCTCCCTTTGCCTGTGTGTCTTTTTCTGGCAATATAAAAAACCTTGCATAATTACCATTTCTGCTGCGGATCATTCATTTGTGAAGATCCTAATTTCTTTTTGGTATCATGTCCTCCGGCCTGAAAAACATCTTTTAACATTTCTCGTAATGTAGATCTGCTGGCGATTTTTTTTTTTTTTTGTCTGTCTGAATAAGTCTTCATTTTGCCTTCATTTGTGAGGGATCTTTTTCTAGCTTGACAGTTCGAAGCAGTTTAAAGGTGTCAATCCGTGTGCCTGCGGAGTTTCTCATAAGAAGTCTGCGGTTATCATTACCCCTGTTTCTCGGCATGTAATGTATCCCTTTTTCTACGTCTGCTCTAAGGTTTTCTTTCCGCCATTGTTTTCCCAGCATGATGATAAGGTGACGTGGTGTGCTTTTCTCTGTGTCTGTTCTGCTTGGTGAGACCAGTTTAATTCACATTGGAAATGAGCCAAGCTTTGCCACAAAACAGTCTTTTTTAAAGTCATCTCTAATTAACCTTGTTCACGAGAGGAGAAATCAGCCCGGCACTTTCTTCGTGAGAGATCAGTCTCAAATGATCTTCTAGTCCTTTTGGCTTCAAAGGACACGTTGTATTATTTAATTTCTCTCAAATAGCTGAGTTACAACCCATTGTCCCCAAAGTGGCCGGATATACTTTTTTGTTCAGGTCATACGACACAATGAAATTAGTGCCACCTCCTTCCCAGCTAAATGTACATCAAGAATATGTCTTTTGTATTGGCAAATGTAGCTGCGTTTTTCACGGTGGAGTTTAGGATGGGCTCCCCTTGTTCTAAATTGAATCCTTCCTGTTGCGTTGT